TGTGCTGATCTTAGTTCTGATAGCTCAGAGGAGTATGAAATCCCCTAACGCCCTTACTGCATGTGTGGTCCTCTCCATGATGGGAATGACAGAGGCTGCCCTTCATCTCAGGGCTGTTGCAGTGATGAGCAGTTGCCTTTCTTCTTGGAACCTCAGGACATGTGTTTTAGCAGGGATGCTTCCAGCAGGAAAGAACTGCTTGCACAGTTGGAGTTGAGGAATGCCAGTGGCAAAACTGGGAGCAAATTCTTTAGGGAAACTAGGAGACTGAGCCTAGGCAGCATGCTCACCTGTTCCCTGCAGTATCTGTAGGAAATGGTGTCCATTGTGCCTCTGTCAGCTCTTCACCCAGCAGTCTTCCCTGGACAAGGCCTCCTCCCGTGCTGCATGTGTACCATGGAAGAAATAACAAAGGGAAAAATGGCCCATGTAGCCAAATTCCACACCAGAAAATTGGAAACTCGGCACTGCGTGGGTGAGTAGGCTTCCTCATGCCTGAACCTGTAGGGGAGAGTAACCAGTGCCTGAGGCTTCATGGAAGAACTTCAGAGCACTGATGATAGCCAGCCACCTCTAAAGCAAGTGGAGTGTAATGCCATCAGCCTGCCACGCCTTGTCCTCTGTGTGTGTTGGGAGGAAGGGTATAATCTCAGCCGTTTCAGCAGCTACACTATTTCCACTGGAGCATCTTCCTCTGGAGGGAGCTATGTGATGCAGATAAGTGCAGTAAGGAGTGAGGCACTGCGGTACTTTCTGGCATTGCTTCCTCCTCAGAAGAATGTAAACAGCAGGGAAGGAGATTCTTTTACCTTGTGTGGTGCCCTGAGTACTCGGACTCTGCATGTCCCAGCCTGGGCTGAGACTGGGAGCTTTCTGTCACTAATGCAGAATAGCCTTGGTCACATCATGGGTATGCAGCATGTGTGGTTGCCTTATCTCCAGAATAGGTGTGGATGGCTTCTCCTACGCTGATAGAACCCACTCCAGAAAGCTCTTGGGGTTTAATGTGCTACTTTACCAGTTTTCTTGGCTTCTCTTGGGGCCCTTCAAAGCTGCAGTAATACAACTTGGGGGCAAGACTGAAAGAGTCTAGTGCTGGAATTGAGTCTCATCCTAGGTATGTGTCCAGGAGAGGTCATATGTGGAGTACAAAGCATTTCTTATTCTCATTTGAAAATTACATGCTATAGGGCTATTCTCAGGCCGTTGGGTTTTAGAGGTATATAGGGAGGGAAGGAGAAGCAAGTTCTACTTGGAGTGATGCACCATGCAAAGGGGACTGTGGTTCGAGACTGGAGGACACTGTGTGACACGCTCGCTTGGGGAAGGCTGTGTTGTCAGTTTTAATGGACAATAAAAAGAAGCTACAGAGGCAGGTCTGGAGGAACCAGACAATTTGGTTGGGTCAGTTCAACACTAGGACAGCAGTAGGTCTATGTTCTACAGCAGCTTTCCCTTCTCCCCCCGACATTGTGCTTTACAGAGTGACAGTAGGCAGATTGTGACTTAAATTTATCCCTGCCCCAGGAGTTTGCTGTAGAACTGGAATGGCCATTTGCAAGGAAGTCCACAGTTCATGTATTTTTTTACAACTGTAAAATCTGCTGAAACGTAGAGTATGAACTTGGAGTTGGGTTGCCTTCCTGATCCTGTCGGAGGCCTGAAATGGTAGCTGAGACTATCTTCAGTGTTGATTTTTGTTATTTTGCTGCCAGTTGATTTAGAAGAATCACTCTTCTAGTTTGCTTTTTCCTTGGCCCTTGTAACTTCTGAGTCTTTCTCAAGTGTCAGTTAAAACAATTAACAGCCTCTCTTCCACGCTCTGAAAACTCCCAGTCCCTGCTGGAAGTTGTGTTTTCACGTTTAAGGAGGAGGAGGGAGGGAGGGAGGATATAAAAAAAAAACCATATGGAAAAAGTGAAATCAGAACTGTTAAATCCTGTGTGGAGTTAACAATCAGTATTGCTCACCCCGTTATTGATTTCTCCATTTGATTGATTAAAGCTTTATTTTGTAATGTAAATCACTGACTCAAAGACATCAGGCTAGCATTGTTATGCACAGCGTTTGGAATTGGGCTACCCCAGAATATATTGGATCAAGGATATAAGTTTCCATGTGCAGATATTAGTGCATGAAGTATTTGCTGGACCCATCACAGTTCATACCAGGCTGTGGCTTTAAATTCTGGTTATATGATTTGTTGTCCCTGCCTGTTTTCAAGACAGATTTGGGATTTGAGCTTTGTTGTTGGTTTTCCCTCAGCTTTTCACGAACAGGTTCCAGCTACTCAGGAAGAAGCTGCTTCCAAATATAACATACCTGCAGAAATCAGCGTGCCTGTGCAGCCTCTCCTCTGAAAAGGAAAAGCAGGGACCAGCAGCTCCATACGTGCCCCTGTGCTCCCCCATCCTCAGCCTGTGCACACACTCAGCTTCATGCTTGGCTCTGCAGATAGGCCACTACGGGCACCTGTGTTTTATTTGCGCTTGTGCCTAAGGGCTTGCACAGAGACATGCCGGGGGAAGGCTTTGACATGGGCTGCTACATTCAGGTTTCCATGCTTGATGGATTTTGCTGGCTAGACTGCAGTTCTGCTCACATGCACACACACAAAAATATAGTTGGGATTACAAAGGATCAGAACCTGACTGGGAGCCAAAAAGGTCAGACAGTTGTGGAAAAATAGGAGCACAGTGCAAACTAGATATAGTAGCAGCAAAAGCATGAGCTATGCAGTAATCAAGGCTATACCCAGTACAGTCCTGCTACTGTTTCCAGCTTTGCATTTCAGGAAGGACGTGAGGGAGTAAGTTAATGGGAGAGTTGCAAGAGCTGTTGGAGACTAACAGAATAACTGGGGTGGTTTGGGAGAGACAGGGCTGAAGAGTGGACTGTGAACCACCTTCACTTGGTAAGCACCAACAGCTTTTTCTTTTGAATGCTCACCAGAACCAGGAAGAGGAGTAAATTGAGTTGTAGCAGGAGCAGCTGAGCACAGCTCTTACCTTTCCCTAGGACTGCTGAGGTCCAGGCAGGGCTTGTGCTTAGCAGGGTGAAGCCCACATTAGACGCACCCCTCCGGGGCGCGTTTTGGGTAGCGATGACCTTACTGCGATGGAGCCGAGGTGTGAGTGTGGTGGCCGCAGGAGCTGCC